TGAAAAGGGGGAGAACGAGTTAATTATTAGTTAATAAAAACAGTTTGATGGGTAGGCGGAATCTTTCAAAAACATGGGGTCCGCGGGGGAAAAAATTATAATGGGGTCCTTGGTGGAGCAAAGGTTGGGAACCACTGATCTAGCCTGATGATGACCTAAGAAGGTCGAAACGTTATTAGTTGTTTTGTGTTTTAAATAAAAGTTTTTAATGCCTGTATCCGCCGTCTCTACTATATATATATTTATTTATTTCAAGTGGGTTCCTCGTCATCATGAATAAATTATTTTGCTTAAGTGTAGTTGGTCTTAAAATATTTGTAAAACTGAAATATTGTACTATGCGAATGTCTTTAATCGATATGTAATATTCCGACGAGTGTGTGTGTAAACGGTGTCGTTTTGCACTCGCTTAGGCGCTGTGGAATTTATAATGATACTTTGAACATATGACATTTTAAAATATGTCAATATATTTTACTGAGATACAGTTAGTTTCCTAGATACAGTAATATTAATATCGGTAATTTTTAAGTCTGGGTAAAGGAACGTTGATTTATAGTAGCTTGTTTAAACTGCGTATTTTCTCAGACAGAATATGATATTTACCTGTTTCGTCAGCTTTGACGACTAACGCATGCGTATAGAAGAACGTTGAAAGATTTTTCGCTTGACTCATATATATATATATATGAACATTAAACAGCTATCACACCAGAAATGAGTTTCGTTTCTGTTGTATAGGTTCCAGTTTTGTTTCAGTCGCCATATTTTCTTCCTAGAAGTTGAATGTTGTATTAGCCAATCTTACTAATAATATATGCGTATCCACTTACCAATATATGATATTTTTAGTAACTTAGTTTGAATCATTTTTGACAGAAAATGTGCATACTGAAATCTTGCGACTCCTACCTCTGGTATAGTTCTTCGTTAGAGCACTTGTGGAGTGTCAAGTCTTAATAATTTCGTAATAGACGAAGAATAACGAATGGCGTGACGTGAGATCAAATAATAAAAATGTTTCTGTTAGAAAACACTTTTTAATATTTAAAATACGTTTTGTTAATTAAAGATATGAAATATTTAAAACATGCATGAGTTATCCTTCAATCATATGTTATTTCAGGTCAAAGTTCACGAACTTATAGGAAAAAGGAAGGGGAGTGATATACATTTATTGATTATTGATGAATGTGTATAACATATTTCGGTGATTGTAAGTTTTGAGTATTAAATGTGTATATTCAAAGTAGTATAATCTCTAGATTTTAAACAGTCAGTGCTAAATGTATAAATACAAAACGTTATGCACTTATAATGTTATATATATATGGATAAGTAAATACAAGTTCAAACTCTGTAAATTGTAAAACTGTAAACATACGATCTAAATTTTATTGGTAGCATCTAAGATGCAACGAACAAAAGTCATTTGTTCAAGCGAACAGAATTTTAGTTTCAAAACAATTTATTTCACACACGTTTCACATCAACTCCTTAAAACGGATTTTAAAAAAAATGATCCAGTGTATTTCTTGTGGCGGCGCCAATATGACGGTTTATATAATCAGTGATTGTGAATATTCGACAAGCTCTTTCATTAATCACCTTTTTAAGTTGACAGCTAGAGTGCTGTTGGGTCCAAATATATTATCGTACACCTTTTTTGTAAAGTGCCTTTTTTATATGAATCAAGCACCAAAAGCAAAAGGAAAATTTATTTCCAAGCATACCGTATATTTTAAAGTAAATTATTCATGAGTCTTTTATATAAATCTTATGAGCCAAATTTAAAATCACTCTGTTGAAAACTTTTGCTGGATGATTTTTTTCATGTTATATATATATATTATGACATAAACTAACTTTGCTTAGGAAACTATAAATTATGTTCAATAAACTTTCAATTTACTAAACTTCCATTATTTTCGTCGAAATATATAATAATGTGTTTAAAGATTGTGTTTGATCTGTTGCTGTGTTATTGAGAAGAATTCTTTTGGTTTTGTTTTCCTATAGCCAGCCAAGGAGGAACAGAAACTGTAGGACCATTTTCCTATATATTTCTATAAATTTACCTTAATTTATTCAATGTCATTGTCTAATTTCATGTAGACCATTTTCATATATATTTCCCTAAATTTACCTTAATTTATTCAATGTCATTGTCTAATTTCATGTAGACCATTTTCATATATATTTCCCTAAATTTACCTTAATTTATTCAATGTCATTGTCTAATTTATTATTCTTAGTTTTAAGATATTTTCATAAAAATGATTATAACATTAAGACACGACTTTGCATGTAAAACATTTATTGACCATGAACGTATAACGTTTGCCTCTTCAGAGGTTTGATATTGAGATGAAGAGAAAAATCCATTTAAATCCAGAAACCTACAAAAGTTATGATAAGCAAAGTACTGTAGATTCTAGTCATATGTCAGAGCTTTTAAAGTAGAAGCGATCAAGAATATTTTGTGCTGTGTTAGAGCTTCACATGTAGTCATGGTGATTAGAAAAATGTTTTGATCCATATTGTTTATCAGAGCTTGTAAAACGATGACTATGAGAAAAACCTGTATAAACCAGTGAATTGACCAAGAACAGTCAACTCGATATTTATTGAACGAAGTCGATTTTTTCTTTGTTCAGGACATATTATAGTAACACTTAATATAAGCGAAAACCAAAATCTGATGTATGGTTTAGCTATGATTTCAAGAAGTTTTAATAAATGATGTACTAGATTACCGTAAACCAACTTAAATTAAGACCCCTTTATCAACAAATGAAGCTTTCTTTCATCAGAAGTACTACTAGATTACAAGGACATTTCTTAGTACAAAAAAGCTTAAGCATCTGAGTTAACTTTAGCAGTATTTATGTACACCTGATGTAACTTCTCAGCGGCTTCAGGACTAAAAAAAAAGTAACTTCCCAAATATATATTTCTATTATATTATTATAATCCCAGTAATTTATCATAGCATTTAAGGTGGTAGCGATAGAGTAAACTCTTGAGGCCAGATAGGTTACTATATATTTTTAATTTTACACTTACTAACTTTTAAAGAACGGCATTAATCTAACTTTTTCTTTTCTGTATTTAAATTCAGAATTAACAATTCCAGTATCGGTTCTAAAATTCAAAATACACTGTTAAAAACCTTAATATTAGGTTTGATAAATAAACGCCTCTGCAGTGTGATTTTGATCTGGTATTTATCTAATGTACTAACACGTTGTTATAAATACACTGTTAAAAACAGTAATGTTAGGTTCGGTAAATAAATACCTCTGCAGTGTGATTTTGATCTGATATTTATCTAAGGTGTTAACACGTTGTTAAAAGCAAATCTTAAGTTTGGTAAATAAATATCTCTCTAGTGTGATTTGATCTGGTATTTATTCGAAATACTAACACGTCCATATCTGAAGACGTAAAGAAGATTTCGAGTTCTTGGTTAGATATTTTCTTTGCCAAATTTGAATGAAAGAAATTACTTAATTTTACAGACAACATTGTATTGTTAAAGGAACGACAAAGGAGTATTTGTATTGTTGCTTATCATGCAAAACTTTGTAGTGTAGGGGAAGGTTTAAAGTTGAAAAAAGAAAATAAAAAAAAATAGCTTGCAAATTTCTACCCCTGTTTTCTCTGCCAGATTTTGAGCATGCTGAATATAAGCTTAGCTATTTAAAAAAAAATGCTGTAAAATATCACTTAAATGTCAACTAAGTGCTGCAGGATTCAAATAAAAAATATTTTACATGGGTTGGTCGTGTCACTCTTAGATTTAGTGTTGTATATATATATATATTCAATTTATAACAATGTAGTTATGATAAAAAATCTTAAACACTTTCTGTTAAGGAATTGAAACTATATAGTTGTATCAAACTTGTAGCAAATATTGTTTACTGGTAAGATTTCATGAAAACAAAACCACGTTAATTTTAAATTAATTTTGTTTGAACTACACGTTGACTTGCATGTGTTTAGATTTCATAAAAAGACGGTTGCTGATAATTAACGAACCCTGGCATTTCCGGCATTGTACGTCAACCTGAGTTACTTCTGTTGGTTGAAAATGTAACAAAAAAGAAGGCCTAAGTTATCGAAATAACTCACGTCTACAAAATAGATTACATACAAAGTAAAAAACGTAAATGTTTCCTGAATAATTATTCTTGAATTATACATTATTTTGAAATTCAGATTTTCATAAGAGTTATAAGTAATAAGTGTAAATTTAACTCAGCTTTTCTTAGCTTTCGGGAAAAAACAATTGTCAATATGTGGTCAGGAATTTAAAAAGCAGAACTGACCATGGTGATTTTTCTTGAAACTATTGTCTCAAGATGAGTTTGCGATCATTTGATTGTATTATTTCCATTCAACTTATACATTTTAGTAATAGTTATATTTTTCAAACTTTAAAGTAATGTTATCATTTAATCACCAACAATAGTCATAATCGCTTTTTAAAAAATTAGCACTCAGATGGATTGAATTCTATGTTATGAAAAGTTGTATTTCATTTATTTCACAGTTGTGTTATACACGCGTTGATTTTTTTATAAAAAATGTATAATTGGTTTTATGTCTACTTCAATTTCTTATTCATTTTTGTCTTACCTTTCTCTTTCCCTTCCCATATTTTCATGAACAAAATTTCAAAAAAAATACATTAGGTGTCCCGGGAACTTGATCAGATAAAAGTAGAGAGGGGACTTTAAAAAGTAGTGGGGATACTACGACTTAATTTTAGTCGTCGTTTTTGTATTCTTTTACGACGTAATTCTCAGCAGTGTTTGTATGATTATATCATAATATCCTTATTAACTGAGGTTGTTTTGGATACGCCTTAAAGTAAAAATACAAATACACTGTGTGTTATGTGATAAAATGTAGAGCTTTGTTCCTTCAAGTAAAACACTCAGAGAAAACAAAACTAGCTTCAGTGACAATAAATGGGTTAAGATATATTTACTGTCTAAGTATCTTGTGAGATATCTAAGATAATGCAAACGCTAAAGTTATAAATCCTAAAGTGATTAGTGCACAAAAACTGTTCTATTGGGAAAATAAAGCAATTCAATAATAGTATGGACGTAATCTTCGGGAAGCTTCTTTTTTTTCGACATATCATTTACAGTTGACTTTTAAGGTTTAGCACAGTTGATTTTAGCATGGTTTTCAATGTCTTTAGAATATTCACCCAACAGCTTCCTTTTCCTTCCTTTAAGACGTTTTTTCTTTCTAAACAAAAAGAGCTTCCATTTCTTTTGTCGCTTTCAGAATTCTAATTTTGGCAACATTTAATAATCTCTGTGCAATTCTAATTTCATCAAAATCTCTGTTAGATATAGTCTCCTTTAACTGATAATTGAATTCAACTTTACACTATTCATTTTTCAGTTCTTTTTCTTTACCAACGAATGATCTATCTCTTGGTCAGTGTTTGGGTGTTACCATTTTTTTTATAAACTTTTGCTGTTTTTTCCCACTTTATCTTTTTTTCGTGTTTCTTCTCCTTTTCAAACCTTTATTTGACTCCAACAGTACTAGTATCTCTTAGATCTTCTCTTCAGATGTACGAATCATTTCTTTATTCTCATACACTTGTAAGTTGACACAAGACACGCGTTCTTTAATAAAAGTTCTTTATTCGCCGAGAGAGATCGTACAACATCTGGACTTTATGTGTAATATACAAACATTTGAATAGTTTTGGTATGATGACATACTTTGGTTTATCACTTGTATTTTTTAATATAAAAATTTGTTCGGAAATTTCTCTTATGGAATACCGTAACCACGTCATCTTTATTTTTGATGTACCAATCCCGTGTAACATCATCTTCCTGTGAAATTAACTACTCATCTACCAAAGACCAAATACTTTGAGTTGGGATCACTTAACTGCAGATCTGTGAATTACAGAGCACCTCATAACTTTCTTCTGGAATGTAAACAGGACAAGTAAATCAGAAGGTTTGAAAGTAACTGACAAGATCATCTATAGTGACTTGATATAATTCCTCCATTTTCACGACCTCGTTGAACTCTTCTTTTAATTTTTGAAAAAGATCTTTTCTGGTTGGCTCTTCCACGTCAACCTTATCCAATGAGATATTAATATATCATTATTTATGCTCTACTTTATTTTAATCCACCACTTCTATTACCTGCAACTACATCAGACTTCAGGTATTTTCGTGAGAGTCCGAATGAGTTCAGAATGTACGTGCAAATTGTACATCAGAGACTCATGTGACTTGAAGAGACTTAGAACATGGAAGCTACTGTTCAGAAGAAACATAAATACACTAAAGATGTTTCTTTAACAATTTTACATTTTTTGTCAGCTGTTTTTTTACAACTCTCTAGTAAGACCTTAAGAAAATCTTATTCAGAGCATGAAAGTTTGCTTTGACTTTGTTGACAGAAGGGAAACTTATCAACTATCATGTTAGTAGCTGTCTGATAAGAAACTTATCAACTATCATGTTAGTAACTGTCTGATAAAACTTATCAACTATCATGTTAGTAACTGTCTGATAAGAAACTTATTAACTATCATGTTAGTAACTGTCTGATAAGAAACTTATCAACTATCATGTTAGTAACTGTCTGATAAGAAACTTATTAACTATCATGTTAGTAACTGTCTGATAATAAACTTATCAACTATCATGTTAGTAACTGTCTGATAAGAAACTTATTAACTATCATGTCAATAAATGTTTGATAAAGAAAGATTAATCTGGGTGTAAATCCAACTGAGTGGTAGAAAAGTTTTTTATTTTGCAAGGTAGAATTTTGAATCATTAAAACAGACAAATAACGAATAGTAGAAACATCTTTATTTGGTTGAATTACATTCTCAAACGACTATGGTACAAGTTTTGCGTTCAGATCCACTGCCATGGGCATTCAGTCCATCGGTTGATGGCTTCTTGTAATATCCTATAAACTGAGAATATTTGTTAGCAATCCGCCAATTATCAGTTTTGTTTCCTTGATTGTCCAT